ATGCAGTCAGTCAATACTGCCATCATGTGGTAAGATATTAATATTACATTTTGAATGAAATTTTATTTTTTAAATCTTAAGATCTGAGGCAGTTCGACTGTGTGTGTGTGTGTGGGGGGGGGGATGATGTCCAAATTGATGTGTTTTTTTTTCCCAGGCCTGGAAATGATATGTGCCACTGATCTGAGGAAAACAATTAAAATATGAATATAATATTTAATGGTGGGTATTCTGACAGATATGCATTTCAAGTTCTTTTTAATTAAGCTTCAGGTGGCCCTGGTTGGCACAGTAGCCTCACAGCTGCAGGGTCGTGGGCTCAGTTCCTGCCCTGCTTCTGTCTCTGTGCAGCTCCTATGTTCTCCTACTGCTCCCTTGGGTTTCCTCTCATAATTAGCTGAATAGGTGTCTCTAAGGATCACACTGTGTGCCCCATAAAGGCCAGGCATCCCATCTGGAATCATTAACTAACTTTAAAAATATAATTTCAGTTTAATTTGAGTCTGTAGAAATAAATAATATACTCTCCACATCTACAGTGTTGAATATCTGATTCCTGTCCGTACCTCCCTGCACTGATTGGCCATCGTATTTATAGGTATATGAAAGACTGTTCACCCTTAAAGCTTTAAACAGACTTACACCACTCTATCTTACCAAATCTACTTCTGCCATACACTCCAGCTCAATCACTTATAATATGTATCCATCTTCTAAATGTTTACCCTGGTCAAGGTCATGTCAATGACTTGTACAAAACAGTTAAACAGAAAAGGTTCTTAACTCTCACCTCAATGTTGGTAGCTGTGGTCTTTGTATGACAAAGAATCCATTCTGACTGCCGAAAGGTTCAGCTGTGTCTAGTCTTATAACAACTGCAGTTTCAATCCATCTTCTGTAGCTGCTTATTCTATTCAGGGTTATGGGGGGTCTGGAGCCTATAGCAGAAGCTATGGGCACAAGGCAGGGAACAACCCAGGATTAGGAACCAATCTGTTGCAGGACACACACACACACCCCTATTGGGAGTTTGGTAACTCCAGTTAACCTCAGCTTGTTTTTGGACTGTGGAGAGGAGGCTAGCATACGCAGGAGGAAACCCCACAATGACATGGGGAGGGCATGTAAACCACACACACATGGAACCCTGCTGGAGACTCAAACCCAGGTCCCAGAGGTGTGAAGCAACAGTGCTAACCACTGCACCACTGTGCCACCCCTATTGTTGCAATTTATGAGTATTTTTATATAAAATGTTTCCAATATGCTTATATTGTCCTTTAACCAGAATTCATTTTATTCCATATCTATCCAAGAAATTTGAAGAATGTAAATCATAGTTAGCTCCCCCCCCCATTTGCTTAAAATCATTTTGTTACATTATGATGAATTATGTAGTGTTACAATCAGGAGTAAGACAATATGACTCTGAAAAAAATGTTTGTCCTTTATTGGTCGATTTATAAAATTTCAGAAATTGAAAAATCCTTTCTGAAAGGACAAATAGCAAACATTTTGTGGGGGAAAAGTCACTTAAAACAGCTTCCAGTGGCTCAGTTCTTCTTCGGTTCCATCCGCTTGTGCTGCACACTGGTCCCATTGTTGTCAATGGGCTTTCACTGGGTTCAGTTTGGGATAGAGGGCAGGACACAGTCGCACAGCTGGACACAGCTTTTATTGTGTTTGAGTAGCGTTTGTTGTTTGTTTTCTAGCATTTTACTTATTTTTCAACATGTACAAGGCTTTCAATGTCTTATTCTGCTACTCTTCATGTACCCTGTGTGGTCTGTGTCACTAATAAATTGTTTAGAGTCTTGGACGAGGCCATTTGAATCACGGTCCTCATGGCCGTGCACTGCTGGTTCTCCAGTCTTCCTTTACCCGTGAGCCAGGTGTGAAGCCTCTGTGGCCAATGAGAATCTGGGATTATTATACTAACTACCTGGGAGAACTGAAAACTTCGAGATCCAGATCTGAAGAGCCCTGGTCTTGGAGATGGACGTGTAATTATACTTGGCTTCTCCCACAATGGGAATGGTCAAAGATTGCGGAATTCTTATTAAAACAGAGCTGCTTTTTTCTCAAGGTCCTTGTGTCTGACTCCAAATGCCTTATAAATAAACATGTAAGGGTACTATATGAGGCCCTAGGCTTACAATGATTTTCCATACCGTCCCAACTTTTTCCAGTTTGGGGTTGTACACGGAATACATTGCCCTGATATACACTGATAATACAAAATATAAGGGGAACTTGGTAATATTATGCTGCATGTCCCTTTGTCCTCAGAATGGCTTATCATCAGGATTTGGGATCCACAAGGTGACAAAATCACTGCAGGCCGGTTCTGACCCAAATGCTTCCCTTAGTTAAGTTGGCTAGCAGTGAATCACAATTTGAAATAATTAATTCCATCTCATGCTTCAGCTGTTCAGCTAGATTGTAAACTGGTAATTGGGCAGGTCAGTACATTAAGTCTGCAGTTCCATTCCTGGACAATCTTAATCATGTAGCACAGAATACTATCATGAAAAAAATATCGATTTTCTGATAGAAACATTTCCGCAGTGCAGGGAAGCACTTGAATGGCAAGGCTATCCGGATGTCCTGTGGGATTGAAACATTGCTCAACTTTTAACAAGCACCCCAGTGAGTGCGGTATAATCACACCCCAAACCGTCACATGACCACCTGCAGTCTGCAATGTTCACTATGTTTTTCATCTTACCTAATGGCAAACAGTAGAGACTGGGTTTCATCACACCGGACATCCCAGTCCTCTAGTGTTCAAAGTTATATTCCTTAATCCACATCAGTCTTATGGCACAATCCTTGTACTGGACTGTTAATTGATTGACACAAAGAAAATTCTATTCTGTCTGGTCACTTTCGTCTGCATCGACTGAAATGGATAACAAGTAAAATACATCATGGATCTTGTCTTTGACCTTGATTTATTCAGCGAGTCTTTTTCAAGCAAAGCGTAGGCATCTCTAACTCTTTGTGCACTCAGAGAATATGGTTTGTAAATGTCTGTAAAATTGCCTGGCCAGAGAATAGCAGTGATACGTTCAGTTGTTTTTCATGTCTCAGCCCGTCATTATAGTATTCTGCTGGGTAATTTTAATTAAATGGAATTATTGTGTTGTAAATTTGTTTTGATTGATATAATTACATTTAAGTTATAACAATTTGAAATTTTACATTCAGTCAGCTGAGCATTAGTAGAAGAAGTGATATAGAACAAATATATAAAAAATATATGCATATAAGAAAACAGTTTAATAATCGATTAATCAATTCAATAACAACAACAACAATAATAATAATAATATGGATGTTAGTCAAAAGTAATTCATAAGATAAAAATTATTGTTGTACAAAAAACCTTTTAATTAGTAAAACAATATTCAATATATTTGGTACCTTTAAAAGTGATGTAATAAAGGCTAAACATACAGTGTAAATTGTAATAGTAAATTTAGACCTTTGTAGCAATAATAACACTTGAATGTGACACATTTCCTTGCACTCATGAGTAATAATGATGCTGACTGTAAGTATAGCAAGGTTAAATGAAATTGTTGAGGACTGAAGGCTCTTGATGGCTGTATTGTTCGCCGGCAGCTGAAAAGCGACTTTGTATCTTTAAACTTGGAGTGACTTGTCTGTTCATTGTTGATGAAAGAGGAACGAGTCAGATTAATAAAGGGAGCTTTTTGCCAAATGCGCATATCATAGCAGGATAACAAAGTGCAGACAAGGAAAAGGCGCATAGTCTCTCTAGATATGGGTAAGTGAACAGCTATTTTATTTTGTTAATCTGAAATATTTGGAAACGTATGTGATTAATATTTAGCATTTAACGGTAATATCTGGAAATGCTAAAATATAAATTTTGAGGTCATTTTCTCTGTGGCCTTTAAAGCATTTTTTAGCAAATGCCATGTGATGTATGAAATTTTTGCACCTGGTTACTAAATGTACCTAAGACAAATGGCAGTGAACATGCATTGTTACAATGTGGAAGATAACTTCTGGCTGTGGGATGGATATCAATTGTTATTCAATTAAATGAATTCTTCCATACATATTGTATATGAGTATATATGTGTTATAGATGAATTCTGGCATTCATAAAAATCCTGCAGAATAAATCAGGAATCCTCATGAATCTTACCACATCTGTCACGTCTGATTTTGCCTACATGATAGGTACGAAATTGTGACAGTATGAGTTTGTCAGTTTATTTGTTTATTCACAGATTATAGTAACTGCACTTGAATTCAATATACAAATGTCAAATAAGATTGTCAAATCAGTAAATGATAAACGATGGCTTTTGGATACCTGAACTGGTGTACTGTTCACCATTGGGATTACAGGTTAGGCAACTGATACAGCACAGCCAATCCCTTCTAGTCAAACCCGTGGATAAACTCTTAAATAAATAAATGAATCCACTGCAGATGTGAAAAAGTTTTTATTTTTATTTTTACAGATTTCCTATGTACTAAAACATAGTTCACAGAACACTTGAGATGCAACAGCTCTCAGAATAATTTCTGTCAATTTATTTATTATTTTATTAGCAATATTGATTAGACTTTCAATTGTAAGGTTATTCCTGTAATGTCCATGGGGCAGTATGACATTTAGGTAACTTTTTCCCCATACAGTAATAGTTTGTGGAACTATTTCCACAGTATGGATATTTTCGTTGTGTTTGGACAAGAATAGAAGATTCACCCTCCTCTTGCTTATGCATAGTGCAGCGGTACCAGCAGGGTGTGGAGCTCACATCTGCTTCACCAGTGCACCCACCCCCCCCACCCCCCCGTACCCACCCCCCCGTACCCACCCTTGCAACACGCTTTTCAAAAGCTTATTTGTTGGTTGCTGTGAAGAGAGAAGGCGGTTATGGTCAGTGTTTACTTTACATCACCAGCCTTTGTATTTCTGTACTGTGTTGGGACAAAGGCCATTGTTACCACGTCTACAAAAGAAATCTCTTTCAGTCTTCTTGGAACCTTTTCCTTTGTCTCAGAGCCCCCCTTGTTATAATAACCCCTTACTCTGGAGATAGGGCTGGACTTGGTACTGGCTGATTACCATGGTTAGCCCAGCAACTGGACTAAGGCAACTGGTGTTGTGATGTCGCGTGAGAATGTCACTGGCAAATGCTGAGGTGGTGTCACACTCCAGAGTTGACAGATACTATCATCATGAAGGGAGAGACTTGCCAGTGGTCCAGCGTTTTGGTTCCTAACTGAGGTCTCATTGAGCATCAGGGCTGCATTGCTTTTGTTCCTTTGGCATAGAAGAGCAACAAATGATTCCATTCAGAGCACCTTGGCTTCTCGGAACATTAGGTGCTGCTTGGACTAGTTTTTCAAAGAAACTAGATATTGCATGTATTTCTGTGTTTATTATAAGCTGTCTAGAAATACTTTATTGGAAATACTAGATCTGTTTTCCTGGTCTTTTTCTTGTTTGTGTTAATTCAATTTTATATTATGCTACTGTTTTGATTAGTATCATATCCATTTTATACTCATGCCTGTATGCAAAATTTCACAAATGTGTAACACCTCTGTGATTAATTTTAGCAAAGGTGCTTATACGATTTTTTTCAGTTATGACCATGGAAAGCTACAGTGGCTGAGGAATGTGTGTGTTGCTAGTGTGTGTGGTGTTTGTTTTTATGTGTTTTGCTCTCCCAGGTTGTTACGATTGCTGTGTCCGCTGTCTCGGGGGAGTGCCGTATGTATCCCTGGTAGCCACACTGCTATGCTTTTCGGGCGTGGCGCTCTTCTGTGGCTGTGGGCACCAGGCCCTGGCACAGACGGAAACATTGATCGAGACTTACTTCAGCCGCAATTCCGATGACCACGCCAACTTGTTTACTTTGTAAGTCTCTTTTTTCCTAAAACGTATTAACAGCAATACTTATCTGGGTGGATGGATGGGTTGATGGATGGATGGTTGGATGGATATTTTTCTGAGAATCTTGCATCTTTTCTTTTCCTCATAACAGTATTGAGTACTTCCAGTATGTCATCTACGGTTTGGCCGCTTTCTTCTTCTTGTACTGCATCCTTCTGCTGGCGGAAGGTTTCTACACCACCAGTGCAGTAAAGCAGACTTTCGGAGAGTTCAGAAGCACCCAATGCAGCCGATGCCTCAGCACTACGGTGTGTGGACAGTGCAGGGGGCTTGGATATGTCGGTGATATTATTTTAGGTGTAAAAGCTACAGAAATGCAACTTAACGACAATTTATTTTGAAGGAAATGTTGATGCGTATTTAAACAAGAATATATTCTTTGATCATTTCAGGCAAATGCATATGTTTGTATAGGTTTATATACGTGTTTTCAAAGGCAGCTAAACTTTTATTAATTATGCACTACACTTTTCTTTTTGCCTTCTTTTAAATTCATACATTAGATTAACCAGGGAAATTCCAACAAATTGTTTTTAAATTCATCTGATTTTAATAAATATAGTCTAGTCTACATTCCGAAGCTGAAGTGACTTTGTGGAATATCATTCTGAATAGTTTGTAACAGGCGGGATGCAGTACCTTGGAATCCCTGTACTTTAAGTTATCACATAAAAACATAGATCTGCATCGAGAACTAGAGATGTATTTTGTGCCCAGAAACCTGATGTGCATCTCTATAATTTCCCCTACAGTTTGTCGTGGTGACATACATACTGGCTGTTGTCTGGCTGATTATCTTTGTCTGCTCAGCGCTGCCTGTCTACTTCTTTTACAACATGTCCTATACATGCCACACGATTAACATTCTCTCTGAGACGACGGCAAGCATTACCCAGCATGCTTGGGTGTGCATTGATGCCAGGCAATATGGTATGTCTCTATGTCTTAATACGTTGTCATATTTATTTATACAGAAGCATGATTTGTTGTGAATGGCATTGTAAACTCTCATTGCAAGCATTGCCTTTACAAGTTGCTCTGCCAACAACAAAGAGGGTATATTTTTTGCAATTAGAGGTAGCACAACCTTTTCTCACACAGCTAGTTAATTGACTGGTCGGTGACACCGTCACAAATAATGTAGTAGTACATTTTTACTTAATGTATTAATTAACCAGAAATTAAGTGTTAGTTATGTAGTGATCCCATGTTCATTCATAACGGTTCATGTATTTCATCCAGTTAATATGTTTGCTTATGATTTGTACTTAGACAAACTTAGAGTTACTAAGTTACTAAGTTGCCCCCCCAGGTAAAGTTTTAGCAACTGGTCTTACATTTTAGCTTAGGCCAAAATGAACAAGAATGAGGGTGAAAGTATATTGCTTGATTACCTACATCCAAGTGAGAGTTGCTACAGGGGAACTGGAATAGACATGTGATTAATGCCAGTGCATTTCTTCTTCAGGACTTTTGCCCTGGAATACAGTGCCTGGGAAGTTGTGTGGATCGACTCTGACATCAACTTGTAAGACTAGTGAGGTGAGGCTGTTAGTTCATATGCTTTTGAGGGCCACTGATGGCAAGCTGATGTTCTCAATAGCAAAGTCTCCTCAGAATTGCCTCAAAAAGTGGTTAAACTAACCTCTGTGTCTTTGTTTTGGCAGTTCTTCGTGACATATGATTTATATGTAGCTGCATTTGCGGGTGCTGGGATCACTCTTCTAGCTATGGTAACAAACTGTCATGTGCTAAATTAGTTATAATAGTTATTGCAATAATGATGGTGCAGAGAATTGCTACTGCATGTATATGAAGTAGATGTTTCTTTCCTAGTTACTTCCATTTGCAACTATTTTTTGTGCCTGTCACAGTAAGAGTATCCTTCATAAAACTCAATGTAGATTGTACCTGAATACCTACATTTTCATGCTGTTATTGGTCATGTGAACTATAGTTCAGCTTTAGTTTTCAAGACAGGCATTCAGTAAATCATACAGACTATTAAAAAAAATGTTTCATGATATTACATTATTTATTCACCAGTTGTATTTCAACGTTGTGTATTTCAATGTTCTGTCTGTCTGATGCAAATCATCATTACTCTCTGCTGTGAATTTACTTTTCAGTCATTAATGTACATTTCCGCTTGCCGCTTCTTTCTCCTTCTCCCTGCAGTTCGTGTACGTGATCTCCACCACCTATAACTTCGCAGTGTTGAGGTTCCTGGGCAGGAAAGGCATACGGTGTTAGGCCCGTCACTCCTGCTGTACTGCAAGTCCTGCCACATTCTCCACGGCAACCATCCAGGAACCTCATGAAATTCCTGCATGTCTCCTGCTTTAAAACTACTTTAAAGTGACACCACAAAATGATTATTTACTTGAAGGGCTCCTAGGATTGAAAAGTAATACAGTTATATTTTGAACAGCAGTATAAGAAATATATAACTGTTCATTCCTGTATAATATCAACCTCATAATTTTCAGTGGATTCTTGCTTTGCTGTTGTTAATTGCTTTAAACATCTGCTTTTTTGGTCTGTTGCCGTGAGGTAATGTTTCCTTCCTTATTCGGTATTTACCGTGTTTTGAACAATATTTTAAGTGGCTAGTTAGCAGTGAAATTTGCCTCTTCCTTTAATGATATATCATGATTATTAAAATAGCTTAAAAAAGCATATTTTTACAAAAAATTGATTGGATTGACCATGAAGCCTGAGAAATGGTTATCACAATTATATGTTGAACAAAGATGACAGCCACGTTTTTCAAACCCTAGGTATCTCCTACAGGTATGTGGTTAGGACAATGGAGAAAAACAAATTAATTTTGTAGAGGACAAACCTCTAAAAATATTTTGCAAAGATCCATAAATGTTTTCATTCCGTGTGCAAAGACCCTGCATAGCCATAAACTTTACTTAGATAAACAGATCAGATAGTTAGATTAAATAAATAAATGTAACTCCCCATGACTAACACCAGGATAATCATTTGGAGGATGGATGGAAAATGGGTAATTAAATCTATTAAGGCTCTTCACATTGATACTCCAGTTGTAACCACAGTGGAAGAGGATGAGTTGAGGAGGAGAATGATAGCAGCTTTTTGGTGCTCTCTAAATGCAAAGAACACACTCAAAAAAACTGTCTTTTAGGACTTGAAGTCAAATCAAAACTCTTTATAGCATCATCTGCCTTTTGCATCTGCAGTGTAACTAATAGTTGTAAAATGAATGATTTGACTGGCAATCTGGGGTCTGCAGTGCCCTGGGGGTCAGCAACAGGGGGCCCGCAGAGACGTTTCATAGACAGAGTGTTGGTGTTATCATCCAATTCATACAATGCAAAAAAAAAGATATCACAGGGAGACCCACCCCAGAGGAAGGATTACTGAGGTCCCCCACTGCTCCCAGTTGTTAGTTCTTTACTTACTGACATGATCAAGCATTCATGATAGAGGTTCCTCTGCTTTAGTACAATATATTTAAACACAGTGTTAGACACTATAATATATAGAGGTATTTGGCATAATTAATGTAAACTCATTGATAATCTGTTATGTACTAGGCAAATGCTACATTTTGCTTGGAACTATGAATTAACCTAAATGTACTGTATTCTATACAATTTGTGTTAAGATTACTCTCTATTAAAATTGAAGTGTGATTTCACACATACTTACAGGAAGGCATCAGTGTCTTTCTATTAAATGATGTCCTTTAAATTTCATTGCTCTGTGCCAAGTCTATTGTGTGACCTCGCATCTGCAGGGTTCTGCGTTCGATTTCTGTCCTGTGTTTGAGAGTATGTGAGTTAGAGCGTGGTGTTTGANAGTATGTGAGTTAGAGCGTGGTGTTTGAGAGTATGTGAGTTAGAGTGTGGTGTTTGCATCTCCTCTGAATATTTGAGTGGGTGTTTCTCCTGGACATCTGGCTCCCTCCTTTGACATAAAAATAAAATGAAAAAAGCCATGATCTCACAGCAGCTCTACACTGGATAATAATGTGATTAATAATAATAAAATGGATGTATGATTGCATATGCTTTGCAAAACCGGCATGGGATGCAAGACTACTGAGGGCACTGATTCACACAGAACTGAGAAGACGATAAAGGCACCACATGGGGGGCTGCTTATATAGAAAACCCAATAAGGACACAAAGGTGATGGTATCTGAGCCACTGTGGCATAACACTAAGTGTCTGGTTTCTTATCTGTCCTTGTCACTTTTCCATTCAGGTACTGATGTGTAAAACCAGGACAGGGCTACAAATTATGCAGAGGTGAACTGCGGGATTAACCATCCCAATTCTGGGAAAAGATACCAAGGAACCAGACACAAAAAACAAGGTGGTACCAAAGATGGTGGCAGACTGGCAATATTTATGCAAATAAAATTCACACCTTAGGGTAACTAGGGAAAAATCAGACTGAAATATTATCCGAATTTATCGCCTCTTAAAGTCGAATAAGGATGGAATTATGACCTTGCAAAATAGTGTAAACGATGTTAAATCATGGATGGAATCGGTTTTTTTGAGACTCAGTGAGAACAAGATGGAGTTTATTATTTTTGGTAAAACTGATCTCTGGTTGGTAGCACTCTTGGTCCCTTAGCCTCATATAGTCGCCCTTCTGTCAGGAATTTAGCAGTGATTCTTGACAGTGCGATTAAACTGGATAAACATATAAGTTCCGTAGTTAAAACTAGCTTCTCTCATCTGAGGATTTTAGGAAAGGTAAAGCCTTATCTTCCTCAAAATGAATCTGAGTGAATCATCCATGCGTTTATTACATGCAGGTTACACTATTATAATGCCTTATATTATGGGTTAGATCAGTTGTCCCTTTGTCGCCTGCAGATGGTCCAAAATGCAGCAGCACGCTTGTTGACTGGAAAGCGAAAGGGTGACAATATCACTCCTGTACTGGCCTCTTTGCACTGGCTTCCTGTCACTTTCAAGATCCAGTTTAAGATTTTATTACTTGTTTTTAAAACACTTCAGGGGAATGCACCTGGTTACTTGACTGAGTTGTTACACCAACATGCTCCACTCAGACCACTGAGATCAACATCTCAGCTACTTCTGGATGTCCCAACTTCCAGATTAAAAACCAGAGGTGACAGAGCTTTTTCAGCCGCTGGTCCTAAATTATGGAACGCTCTGCCCTTTCATATCAGAGCTGCTCAGACCCTCTTTGCTTAAGACTCATTTATTTGGGTTGGCTGTTAATCCCAGTTGTGATTGATATTTATTAATATTAAATGTATAGTTTTGTTATACTAATATATCTTTAATACTTTGTAGTGTATTTATTATATGCAAAGCACTTTGGGACAGTAAGTGGTTGTCTGTAAATGTGCTATATAAATAAACTGGAACTTAAACTTGACGGATGTCCTCTTGAGCGTGACTCTACTGTGGTAAGATGCTGTCACGTGCGGACCAGGGAAGCAGGAGCAGGGAGACGAGGAAGTGGGGAACAAAGGATTTATTATGGAGGCAAGGTGCAAAACAGACGTAAGACTTCAATAACCGTACAAGGAAAAGCATACCTAACGCAGACTTAAATATATAAGAGTAATGACAGCAACAAGAAACAGCTGGTAAACACGGGGAATCCACACAAGGTTAACGAGGGGGCATGTCCCAAAAAGTAGGGAAATTTTAGGTTTTACTACATTTTGGGGACAATTTGGTCCTCAAATGTGATCTATACAAACCCCCCCCCACACACAAAGATTCTTATCTAACTTATCCATTCTACAGCATATCCAGTACAGTATTGTGTGGGGCGCTTGATCAATGAATACAATTAGATCCACAACCAAATACTATTACATAAAAGGGGCCCAAGCAAACAATGGTTGTGTTATCTTTAGCTGTAATAACTGCAAATAGCACTGTCTGTAGCTGTTCACCAGGGTTTTGTATTGTTGTGCGGCAATTTTGGGGCACCCTTTATCTCAGCAACTTGGGTTTTTGATTAGCATGAATAAGTCTTTCCAGGGCCTGCCTCAACATCTCCACTGAGTTTAGGTTAGGATGTTCACTAAGCCATTCCATAACAATTTCTTTTTTAGCCATTTTTTTTTTTCATTCTTGTATTTTTGTGATCACTGTTGCATAACCAAGCTCTGCTTTGGCTCCAGCTTACAGGCATATGAAGCAGTTCCGTCTAAAAACTGAAATATGCCCTTTAAAGTAGATGCATAGACACTTTTGTTAAGGTTAACGCTTCAGTACTTTTCTGTGGCATTACGTGTAGAATATAGGAGGTTATACTACATTTCCCAGAATTCACTTTGTCGGTTATAGTCATGCGCTGTACGTATTTTCAGGGTGCTGCCCGTATGACCGTCTGCCCGAAAGCTAAGGAAAGCGCGAGTTGTAAGAAACGCGAGGAAGTTCCTCAGTTCAGTTTGTTTTTCTATGGATACTTATGTATCGTGTTTTTAGAGGAATTGATTTCTCATTCTGTTAACATATATTTAACTAAATATTTATAAAACGTCACCAGCTTTTCAGCACCTACAGGCTAGCTGCTTCGCTAGCTAGCTTGATATTAAGTGGCTGAAAGGATTTTCTACGTAGCTAGCTAAGGAGCTAGCCAACTGCTTAAGGTAACTATATTTCATAATTAAACAAGTATATTTTTATATATATAATATCACTTCAGTGACTGTTCACGGTTCGTTCTTGATGTGTGTCGGTCGCTGTGTGTGTTTGTTTTATTAGTTTGACGAGGAGCTAAGTGTACTTTTTAAAACAGCTAACATATAAGAACAGTTTTCTGTCGAAATAACACCAGCAGTGTCAGCGTTCAATTAATGTTCAAGTTATTTCTGCTTGGATATTTAGGTAAAATTGGGCTGTAGTTTTCTATGCTTCATGGTAACAGCCCAGTTTTCTGGTTCAGGATCTGGTAAAATACCTTCTGAGTCAGTGTTTTGATTTATGTCCTACTTCAGTTACTCGTGATTTAAATGTTTCTTTAATTATATTTTTGGGAGGTATGACAAAGAGTCTGCCTTACTTACATTTGTGTATGTAATTAGTGTAGTTACATCATGAGGACTGAGTTTTATGAAGGCCAAGGATTGGCATTCATGCAATGTATTTCGGCTAAAAAGATGACTTAAGTTTGCCTAAGTCTTGTTGGTGTCACAGCGCCATAGTAGTGGTAAGATTAGTGTCATTTTTTATTCTGTTTAAATTTTTTAAGGTGTATGTTATCTTCTCTCCTCTGGGGGAATCCATGTTGATCATTCATTAATTTATTGTAAAGCAAATTGTCCGTGTATAATCTAAGATATTTAACATTTAATTACAGCTACGTGTGTTTAAGAAATATAAATTACTAACAAAATAAGGCAGTCTGAACCGATTATCTCCTTTCTGATTGAGTTTGAAGATTTCAGGAATGTGTCGTTTTGGCTGAATGAATTGGTGAGCTGCTGCTACACTTAAATGTAATTCTACCCTCAGCTGCAACTAACCTTTCAAATTAGTTTGCTAAATGTTCAGGATGCAACTTGGTGTTTAAATAATGTTAATATGTTATATTTTGCTATTATACCTACACTGTCCTGCAACTGTGTGAAATGCTATTGTCATCATCTGTGTTTATACATGGATTATCTGAAGGAAGAATTCTATATATTTATTATTAGTAGAATTGCATATTGTGATGTATTGAGGCATTGCTAAGAACTGAGAACCTGAAAATTTCCAACCTCCTACTTTAGAAGTACTATAGAACGACTGAATGGAATGGATTCGTAATGCAAATTTACACATGCGAATGCTAATTCCGCTAGCGTTTGATGCTAACGTACTAAGGCGATTCAGATGTGCTAGCAGATATTAGCAAATACTAACTCATGATGTACACCGTGTGAACAGTAAATAAACATTTCTCTGGTTTTACATTACTGACACTCTCCTAATCCAGTAACACCTTTACCAAGCTGACCCTTCTGCAGTGGAAAACTGAAGTGAGCTGGAACTACGCAATAACTAGTCTCTCTTTGTGGTATGGCTTTGGTATGGCTCGGTTCCTGTTTGCCAGCGAAAAAGCACCATATGTGAATGTGATAAGTCAAAAGGTATTTGATAGATCTTATTACTGCTTCACAAAAACATTTTATGGATGCACTCCTGATTTCATTTTGAAACAACTTGCCCCAAAATTGAAGCAGCAGCATGTTGTGGCAGTAAAGGAAGGGAACGCAATTGTCAAAGACAATTGGTATTGTGAGTAGCTCTGAAGGTATTTTTCAGATCTTTTTCAAACTTTGCAGGGACATTGTATGGGTGACAAACTAAGGGTGTACTCACATTTGGCCCGGTTGCCTTGTACCGTGCCCAAGCACGATTGTTCCCCCAACCCTGCTTTCCCGCTGCTCTGTGCTCACTTTGCACTTAATGTCCCACAATGGCATACGGCTCTCTTATACTTTTATCAAGCATGCACCTCAGTGATTTTTATTTAATCATGCTACACGTATAAAGAGAGTCCCATATTTTACCAAATATCTCTGAGTTTTTGTATGTTGCATCCAGTAGTTCTTGGGTACTCTTCTCAGCCCAAATTTCCACCAAACACTGCACCTCTACTATGGTCCAAAGTGATTCCTTCAGCACAATGATTGTTAAATGTTTTTTGTATTGTGTGTTTGTGCGTTTGCATGTGCCATGTCTGTGTTCCATGCTAGGGCACAGTTAGTGACTACACTAGGTGCGTACCATCCCCGAAACTGACTAACCATGCTCTGGCCTAGTTCATCAAGTGGGCGCCAGTGCCTGGTTAAGCATACCGTGCCTACGCAATGATCACACTAGTCAAACTGGACTTTGGGGGTCAAACATGCTTAGGCACGTTCCTTCTGGGTCCGGTTCGTGTATCGTGAGTGTACCAGTCGCATCAATGACGTCATGTCTGTTTTCCGTGCCTGGGCGCGCTTTAGCGTTCCGTCCCTGGAGTGATCACGTTAGTCACATGAACAAGACTTTGGGGGTCAAATGGGCTAAGGCTTGTGGTTTGATCTTTTCCAAGCTTTGCAGATGCATTGTATGGGTACAGCTCTAGACTTTTTCAAATTGCACTAAAATGGAAGTGACAGAAAATAGAAGGGTGGTTTAGATGCTTCACCTTATGAACAGAATAGCTCCATTTGATATTTTGTTTACTCTGTTTGATCCCTCATAGATCTTACTGGCACTTCCCAAAATTATAATTTCAATGAAAATCTGCACCTAATAGACCTGAGCTGCTGAAACTGCAACAGCAGAGGGCATTGTGACAGTGGCCGTCTACCATCTAAATGCATTCCATGGATCTATTTGAAGACTTCCCCAGAACATTGTATTAACGCAGAGCCAGAGAGCTGAAGTTGGCATCAGCAGCACAACATGTTGGGGTCATTCACTCAGTACGTTTACATACACAGCTAAGCCAAGCTACGGTTAAATGGTGTAGTCAAGCTATAATCAGACTACTGTCCTTGTTCCAATATACATGTATGGGAGGGGAATCGATTTATTGACTGAAGTATGTTTGATATATACATGTGATAAGTATGTTAAATATGGCTACTTTCAGTTTGTTAGTATTGGGCTTTTTCCAGTTGACTAATTGCATCACAGTAAAAAAAAAAAAAAAAAAAAATTATATATATATATATATAAAAATAAAAATAAATAAAATTAATAATAATGGATGTGTGGACAAATGAAGTCACACAAGCTTTAATTGTGATCTGGTCAGAAGAACAGATATAACAAGATCATGATAACATAACAAGAAAAAAAGTATTTTATATGATATACTGTGACAGCACGGTATTGGAAATTTTTCAGATATTGCAATTTGATTTTGTTGTAATAAATATAACAAACAAATTTCTCATGAACCCGTCGAAGTTCAAGGGCACTATTCTGTTAAAATAAATAAATAAATAACATGATCTGTACAGCTTTCTTGATTTGTTTGTTCCTGGTTGGGTTCATCATTGAGAGGGAGTGTACGTGTGATTTGCATCATTGACATCATGGCTGTGTTCCATATTTGGACACAATTCATACCGTGCCTGAATCCGACTAACCATGCTCTGACTTCACCTCATCAAGTGGGCCAGGGCATAATTAAACATATTGTGCTTGCACACGGTATGGAACAATCACACGAGTCAAGTAAACTAGAATTTGAGGGTCATATGTACTCCGGTACGGTATGTGGGAATTTATTTTTCAAGATTTATTTGGTAAATCCAGGATTTCGCATAAAACATTGTATGGACCTTTCAGTTTCTGGTGTCATTTTCTGCATACATAGCTTTGATAATTGAAGCCCCTGGTGAAATGTGGCCTGCAGACTTGACCAATGTTACACAAAGGAGAAATTCTTTGAAGAGTCCTCAAAACACGACACTTAAGGCTGTACTTTAGATTAAGGTCTGGTTCACGCTTTCTGCATATTTGGCCACGCGTGGAACCGTCCATTATTCTAAATGTTCATACTTTGTACACCAACACTCCAGGCAACCACATGCTTTGATGCATGCGCTAATGCTGTAGAATACAGCTGCTCTTCAGTCATATTTATGAATGTTAGATTAAGAATGTTACTCTGAAACTAACAGTGTACTATATACTTACAGTATATAAGGCAGGGTTATCATTAACAAAAAATCAAATCAAATGATGCAAAAATAAATTGCAAGTAATCAATAGTAAATGTTTTTATAACTAACTGAAGTAAAATAAAATGGCAAGCGTCAAATACTTTGTGCTATTTTTTATAATACTATTTAGCTAATGTATGTGGCATTGTGGTTACAAGCATATTTTATATTTTAGTTTGCATTCATCTGGGAGGATTTATAATTCCGTATCGAGGATTCATATAAAATTTGGTGTTTCCAGACTTCCTCAGCTAACCTTTTTTTGTACCTGCTAGCCATATTTGCCCTTAATGTTTTGTCACTAAATAGATCACACATAGATTAGCACAATAGTCTTATTATTTTATTGCATTAGCTATGGAATTGGAGGAGTAATTTTTCTTTTTATCCTTGATATTGGACTTTGAAAGAATTTCTCTCTCATGCTTTTCGATTTCAAATACCTGTATATCTCAATTAATAGATGGTTCTGGGTGTTACGAACTTTCACAATCTTTTGGAATTCTTGTCTGACTTAGTTTCATAGAGTTGACATAGATTTGTCTTTTTTTTCTGTGCAGGTTGTGCAGCCTGAGTGGATGAAGAAAAGATGCAGACAATTAAGTGTGTGGTTGTGGGTGACGGGGCTGTAGGCAAAACATGTCTGCTCATCTCCTACACAACAAATGCCTTCCCGGAGGAATACATTCCCACTGTGTTCGACAATTACAGTGCCCAAATGAGCGTCGATGGCCGCACAGTCAGTCTCAACCTGTGGGACACAGCGGGCCAGGAGGAATATGACCGTCTGCGCACTCTCTCCTACCCACAGACCAACGTGTTCATCATCTGCTTTTCAATCGGCAGCCCGTCTTCCCATGCCAACGTAAGGCATAAGTGGCACCCAGAGGTGTCGCACCACTGCCCCAGCGTGCCCATCTTGCTGGTTGGCACCAAGCGGGACCTGCGCGGAGACGCGGAGACGGTGAAGAAGCTGAAGGAACAGAGCTTGGCCCCCACCACCCAGCAGCAGGGCAGCGCGCTGGCGAAGCAGATCGGTGCCGTTAAGTACATGGAGTGTTCGGCGCTCCTGCAGGAGGGTGTGCGGGAGGTGTTTGCTGAAGCTGTGCGTGCTGTGCTCTACCCTGTCACCAAGAAAAATGCCAAGAAATGCGTCCTCCTATAATCAGGAGGGAAGGACTAAGAGGGGACGGACATGGAATGCTTGACGAGTTCTCACAGAGGGGCTCCCTTAGCTTGAAGACCTTGGCACTAGATTTTACCCAGGCCCTGAATTGCTTTGAATCTTCGTAAGAGGGCCCTTCTATTGCTTTATTTTTAAATTTGTATCCCTAACCAAAGGCCATAGTTACACAAAGTTATGCCGTTGGAATAGTCTTGATCTGCCTCCTGGTATATTGCTTCACACCCAAGTGACCTACTAGATGTGTCTGTTATTTTCTTTCTCTAGAAGTCCTGCCTTTCTGAATATCAGCTTTTCCAGTTGTGATTTTCATTTTGCTTCTCTATGTTTTAGTCTATAAAGGCAGGGAATTGATTGAAGAAAGTGTTATCTAAAATATGGTAATATCTAAATGCCAGATTGAACACACAGGGAAAAAACAGCTTGAACAGAATTCAGGATGACCTCATGGAATGTGTCTGTTATACTTGGCCGTAAAGTTCAAGTATGATTGAGAAGCTTTGTATCAGTGGTGCAGCTGCAAACTACAGTGCCACTGGAAAGTATCCCAGGTACAGCAACACTCTGCCATAACCCCAAGCAGTTGTTCAAAACTGGTCCAAAGTGAATGGTTGCTGCCATGGTTTATCAACTTGATGGGACAAAAGCAAACTGGACCAAAGACCTTCCAGTTCGTACATAGCAGAAATATATTTTAGTATTCCTCTTAATGATGAGGTAAATTTATTGGTGTGGAATTCTTCAGAACCTTAAGATGTACCAAAATGAACAGCAGGCAGTGTTTCTCATTTGCCTTATACCAATTTGCCTTTCTTCTGATATGCACTGTGCCTTATATATGAAACTTATCTTTCAATTTATTAAGCTTTTCTATTAAGTACAAGTGCCAACCACAGTACTGAAAGACTAAATGATAACCCAGTCTGGAAATTTAAATGTGTATTGTGGAGGAGTTGCACAGGTGAATGTGTTTTGACAGCTCATTGAACACAATGTTTTGTGAAACCAGTTTGAGAATGGCAAAAATACATTCCATTTTCTGTAAACCTTTTACCCTATCAGCTGATACTAAATCTCATTTGCTGCTTTTTATTCAAAACCTCAATCCTGTCAGCCATGATTTTCTTGAATTGCTATAGTATCTGTAAAACGGTTTCAAAAATAACACTGTGACTATAAGTAATATGACCAGCTATGTTTCACATTTGCCTTTTTAGGAAGTTGTGCCAAGTTTTCCTTTTCATAAAAAAAGATTTATTTGGGGTATAGTCTCGAATGTTTCTAAAGCCGGGATTTACTGAATCTGTTCAGGAGGGGAATGCACAAGTTTTGTATAAGATTTAAACAGTACTTACAAACCATGAGCAAGTACCACTGCTGGGTGTAACTGTGTGGGGCAGAAGACAAGTTGGCACATTATCGTTACTCTCTGAACCTGTATATCTTTGGTGTTTGCAATTTGTATTCTACTTCACCAAAGATTTAGTAACAGGTTAAGCCTTCAGATGCCTGCTTGCAGTTGTGAGTGCCTTATTTTATTTGCAGTTGTGGTCCATGTCATTTACCTTGGAAAAAATACATTTGCAAGTCATAATAAGGCTAAAAGTGTTTTCTCACATTCTCCCAGTCGAGTATGTGTCTGTATTATGTCGAATACTGCCCATTACAGTTGATTAGTTTAATTTTTAAGAGGCCTTAGGTCATGTGACTGGATTTTAAAGTCATCCAGACCATTAATTTGCACAGATTTATTCATGTTCAATTCATTTTATGGGGATTTGACACTAAAACTCTCCAGTGGTGTACTTTGCTTTGACCCATGTCCGATAATGACATATTTCCTGTTCAAAGTCGTTTTTTTTTTCATAACAGCAGCCAAATATTTTTACAATATTAAAAGGTGTTGAACCACAGTATTGTTAGACTAAAATCTAAGGGCTCTTTGTCTCACTGTAAATGTGTGTGATTGTACTTAATTTGCTTATTGGTTTTGTTTATTTGGCCCTTAATACCAATTGTAAAACTGAATTTGATGGCATGTTGATTCTGTTCCGAAGAAGTTGCCAGTGTAGAATCCAGAGAAATGATGGTGACATTTACTATACAGCATAACAAAATCAATTCAAATCAAAGTGGTTAATATTTTATTTACCCAGGGTGGGGGTGTCTTTCAAAGTTCTAAGAAGAAAGGCTGGAGTACATTGGCAGAATTTAGGTTATCGCATTGTACTATTGAGATGAATTGTATGTTTTGTTATATTGTACTCTGTCACAGAGAATAGGTGCTGCTATTGATGTAGTTCTTCACAGTAGGGGGAGGTTAAGCATACATATATTTGAAATATATCAAAAACAGGCTGCTCTGATTAAACTGAACAATAGATTCTACCTAACGGAAACAGCTTCACTTTCAGCTCGATGTAATATTTTATTCCATCAAATGTATTTTTCGAGACTTTACTGGAATACATGAATGTTGGAGTCCTGGTAACTTTAAAGTCTTTGAAAGTTGTGATTATGTGTTCTCTACCCACTCACAAGCAATGCCAAATGGACAGGTTCAGTCACACCAGTGTATGACAGTTTTCAGCTCCTGGATGTTTCCTTGGCAACGTTTTTATAGATCTGAGTGCTACCAGCATATTCAGAATTTTCAGAAATAAACTGTAGAGTGTACCCAGATGTTTCTCATTGTGATTGGGGATGTGGTAGTGTATATGGTACAAATAAAATATGGAAAATTACCCTTTTATTTAAATATGTACTGTTTTTAGCCAATCTTCAGAGTTTATTTGTCATATGCTTCCAAATCTAAACTGGTGACTGGGCCCCACTCAACAAGCTGCTAAGGACAGTTTGTCACGGTGTGGTACTAAATTTATACACTGGGAATTGATTTTTAAATACTTTTTCTTTCATTTTTTTTTTAGCAAACGTATAAAAAATAAATGGTGGAGATTATTTTTAAATTATGGTAAATAAAATTGGTATGATTTAACGTGTGTGAATGTGATTTATACAAATATAGTAACTAAGTTAAATGAGAGAAATACAGTTAAATCACCTTTTCAGTTCTTCTCTAGAATCCAAACATTGTTTACTGGAATCATTGAATTCTGTATTTGAGTCTCAGTGCTTTAATTTAAAAGGATATTTAGTAGAAAACATGGATGAACTTCCTAGTTTTGTGTTTCTGTAATGTGCATGTTAAAAGGAATTTAGTCAGTAAATGTTTTCTGTCGATGGTCCTATATTCTGTACGAAAGTATATCTACAATTGGGGGAAACATTTTCTAAAAAAACATTTGCTAATAATCCCTATCGAAAGATGCCTTTAATATTAGGTATTTTTGGAATACACACATATTACTGAAGTTCTAAAAATTCAGGGAAACCTAAATACAAGTCTTGTAGCAAGTAGAGCAGTAGTTAAGATGCCTTACATTTGTAAATAAACTGCAAGGTAGTCTTCAGCCTCGGCTGTCTTCATAATTGAACCTGTGTGTGTATATATGCTTACTTGGCACTTTATTATATGCATTTGTTTAGCTACTCCTTGAACAAATGTCTAATCAGCTAATTATAAGCCAGCAGCACAATGTATAACATCATACAGATACAGTTCATGAGCTTCAGTTAATATTCACATCAAACACCAGAATGGGGACGAAAGGTGATTTAAGTGACTTTGAACATGACATGGTTATTGGTGCCAGGTGGGCTGGTGTGAGTATTTCAGAAACTGCCGATCACAGGCCCACAAAAATTGGACAAAGGAAGATCAGAAAAACGTTGCCTGGTCAAGAGTTGATTTCTGCTATGACGCTCAGATGGTAGCGTCAGAATGGATATATCCTGCCTAGTAAGAACAATTCAGGCAGCTTTTGGTTGCGTAATGATGTAGGGGATATTTTATTGGCACACTTTGAGACCCTTAGTACCAACCCGAAATGCAAGGAGGTGTCGCCCTTCATGATGGGGAATGCAAATTATACTTTAGGAGCGGCTCCTGCATTACAATATGTTGCAATGAGGTTGTTGCCGACTTCAGCTCTGAAATAAGCGACACAATATTTATTTGAATTGTATAACAGATGCCTTTGGAAGGTAGGACTAGCTGTCAGTACCCGATCTGCAGCAACCGCCCAATTAGCAACACACAATTCCGCGTATGCGAACTGTTTGCACATGCGTACACTATATTATTTTATGGCGCTGCCCGATAGGAAATGAACTCACTACCCTAAAAATTCTTATACATTCTTTAATGAATCAAACATATATAATATAACATTAAAATATGTTATTTGTTGCTTGTTTTTTGTGAATCTTATGGATTTTGTATGTTTTGTATGGAGTTTGACCGGTTGTGACGCAAATTTAAGTAGCCGGAAGCTGGGGTTAGTTTATTGTCAAAACACATAGCATAAGTACAAGAAACACTGGAAGGAGAGGATATGCTTATTATATCGAAATGTACAATTAGCTAATACTTATACACTGAAAAGGGGAACATGTATGACATATAGTTGTTTTCTTTTTGTGCACATTATCTCCAAAGCCTAGTGGTATCATACAAAGTTTGCTCTCTCCCGCGTTTTAGTGTTCTGCAAAAGAGGTAAGTTATGATATAATCCAGGTGAAGTAGAAGTTATAGAGTGAAAATGAATTTGAGTGATCGGTAAGACGTTCTCACGCAGTAGTCGTTTTTTGTTGTTGTTTTTGTTGATGTTAATATGAGTAATCCATTGCATTAGTATTACAGAGATACCTATGTGACTATGTCGAGTCTAGTATCATAGGATCTGTAGAGTCTGCTATTTTGGAATTTATCTGAAATCATGAAATGAAAGTTTAAACCGTTTTAATATCGTTAAGGAATATAGTAATGTTTATTAGTCGGAATAGTCCTCTCAACCTGTCTGATGTCTTTTACGCTAACCATATAGTAATGTTGGTTTTGTGTTGCCCCTATATTTTGGGGTTTTAGGTGTTGTAAAAAATTGATCTAATGATCGATGAAATAGTAATGAGTGAAGCAGTCAGGAAAACATATTAACATGTTAATTATAAAAATGGCTATACACGATGTCTCGTGGTTTAAGCTGTAGTGTCACACCCCCAGGGTCTCGCTCCCGACTACTGTGTATGTCGGATAGGCGTGTTATCCTGTGTTTGTGCAGTTTTGCTTTCGGTATATTTCGGTTTCGCGTTGTTTGAAAACATGTGAAGAACTAGCATGTAATGACAAGATAACATTGCGAACCGAATCTGGACTGTAACACCGACTAGATATTAGCTGAAGTATTTTATACGCTCTTGGTCTGTCTTTCAGAATGTCGGAATCAGACAGTGATGAAGAACAAGAACGTCCATTTTCCCTTACTGGGTTCTTGTTTGGGAACATCAATGAAGATGGACAACTAGAAGATGACAGCGTGCTGGATACTGTGAGTGAGCAGGAGTGCATAGAACGGGATGGAAATTGTGCATAGTAAGGGCAGTGAGAGCCATGCAGGGAGAGCTGTTTGAAATGTATATATATTAACTATTTGTAGTTAATCACACAATGCAGACTATGTATGACAAAGAAAAATGAAAATAAATACTCTGAGCAGAGATTTTATGTGCAAATGTCCGTGTAATGCTGCATATCCGGTGTTCAATGCTTAACAAAATCTTTTACGCATTTATTCTGTGCTTATTACCACAAAGTCTTTTAATTGAAATTTTATCCTGTGGTGATCCAGGAATCCAAGAAGCACCTGGCTGGTTTAGGCTCCTTAGGGCTGGGTACACTAATAACGGAGATTACTGCTAGTGAGGAGGATGCGGGTGAGGAGGAGAAGGACTCCAGTAGTACCGATGCAGAAGGTAAGGGCACTGTAATGCCCCAGTAATAAATGCATCATTTTAATTTTCATGCTCTATTAGGCTTGGGCGGTATTACGGTATTACAGTATACCACAGGATTTAGAAATCCCAAAGATATTTTTAGCACCGTAGAACATGCAGACGTTCTTTTTTCAAAACTAACATGCGCAGAACCCAAGGGTCCATCCTGAACTATAAACTGACATCATTCTTGTCTATTTCTATGTTACCTGCTGCCCAGAGATGACTTCTCAGCATCTTTTAATGTTTCCTTTGAAACTGGAGAATGTTTTTTTTTTCCCTCTTTGTACAGGATGGGTAAAAAGCACAGAAGATGCAGTGGATTACTCTGACATCAGCGAAGTGGCTGAGGATGAGACCAGGAAGTACCGTCAGGCCATGGGGACACTGCAGCCGTCCCACAGGACAGGTGCATCTAAAAATCATAAAGATTCATCATAAAGACAATGTGTCACAGGACACCATAGTTTTCACATAGCAGCTTTTTTTAAACTTCTCTTTCTTGAAGAAATTCAGTTTTCATTTCATATTTCACCAGTCAGTAAAATCTGCATATTGCGTAATAACTTATAAAATGGACCTAAAATGGAATTAGTATGCTATTTTCATTTTTGTCTCTTTGTTGGCTATATCCCCTGACCAGTTTAGATAGATACTTTATTAATCTATAAGGAAATTGCAGGTTAACTGTAGCATAACACAGACATGTAGATGGTAGGAAAGACACTTGGGCAGCAATAAACAGTAACAATAAATAATAAATGGCAGCAAACTGTTAACTTTTTGCCTTTTAACTAATATATATTTTGATGTTCTGCCCTGATCTCATAAATTAAATAGCATTAACATTTATATAGTTTCCCAAATAAACACAAAAACATACTAGTGCTTAACTGGGAAGAACATGGAAGTGTGCCTTAATTTGTTTTGTGACTGATTGTGATTTTGTAGATGATGAGGATGACTATGATGCTGACTGTGAAGATATTGATGCCAAGCTGATGCCCCCACCGCCCCCGCCCCTCCAGCAGACTAAGAAAGATGACCTCATGGCACCTTCTGCAAATGGTGAGATCTTACAAGAAGGATTCTGTCTCCGTCTGTCATCTCCTGTAGAGAGTGATCCTGTCGGGATGCGCTGTGTGACTGGATCCGCTCGTGTTTTCTTTGGGACTCTCCTTAGCATTGGGCGATGAGGGCGATGGCATTATCCTGCCTTCCATCATCGCGCCGTCGTCCGCGGCGGACAAGGTGGATTTTAGCAGCTCCTCTGACTCTGAGTCGGAGACGGACCGGCCGGCGCTGGGTCCGGGATCCAGTGGATCTCCGGGAAGTCTGACCCTGCCCTTAGCCGGCATCATGCAGAAGGACGCGGCCAAAGCCCTGCCAGCCGTCACAGAGCTCTTTCCTGAATTCAGGCCTGGAAAGGTGCGTCATTTCACATACAGTACCAGTCAAAAGTTTGGACACACCAGGCTGCCTACTAAGGAGAGTGATGGTGTGTGACGTCACATGACCTGGCCACCTTACTCACAACACAGTAAAATGGTTTGACCTGATAGTGAAGGAAAAGTGGCCAATGACTGCATGACATATGTGGGACCTCCTTCAGGACAGCTGGAGAAGCATCTCAGGAGGCCACTTCATGAAACTGGTGTAGAGGAGACAGTTGGGTCAGCCAGTTACTGGAGCAATTAGGGTTAGGGGCCTTGCTTCAGAGCCTAATGGTGACATCACTCTACTGACCATGGGATTTGAACCAGCAACCCACAGAAACCCCCCCCCAACAAATATATAATTTTTTTTTGCTTTATATTTTTTTGGTCAGAGCATAACTCCATATATGTTGTTTTATAGTTTTTAAGTCTTTATAATTATTCTGAAATGTAATGAATAGTACACATAAACCTTTTTATTGGTAGGTGTGTCCAAGCTTTTGACTGGTGCTGTATGTTTCTCACATCCTGTACTGGCTGTGATTAATCATTTCTAGAACATTCACTGGCTGCTTTCTTTCCTGGTAGGTGCTGCGCTTCCTTCGCCTCTTTGGGCCGGGGAAGAACATGCCGTCGGTCTGGCGGAGTGCCCGCAGGAAGCGTAAGA